GGTGAGAGCCCGCAGGGCACTGGGGGGTCTCTGAAACGCAGTGTGCCCAGTGTGCACTCTCCCTGGTCACTGCTTGGCTTCCAGGAGTCTGCAAGGGGCTTTGAGGGTGCAGAACATGGTGGCGGGTGGAGGGGTGAGCTAGGGAGACTGTCCTGCAGTCTAGGATTTGCCAGGGTGGAAAAAATGCCAAGAAGCTCTACCTGCACCCTCTCCTGTGACCCTCAGAGCCCCTAGCCAGGGAGGCCCTGCTGGTCTTATTTCACATTTGAGGAAACGGAGTCCAGAGAGGGCCTAGGGGCTCGTGTGGTGTGCTGGTTAAGCATGGGCCCCAGAGCCAGGCTAGCTGGGCTCCAGTCTTGCTTCCTTGCTTACCAGCTGTGTGACCTTGGATAAGCTACTTGTGTACGCCTCACTCGTGACAATAGTGATGTTGTGAGGATGAAATAAGTGAGTACATGAAGTGCTCACAGCAGACTGGGGCACCTGCTAAACCTGCTGCTACTATTACCACCTAAGCTCCGTTCTCTCCGACACCAGACCCAGGCCCTCAGCCCCTAGCTTCAGCCTCTAGCTTTTTCAGAGAGAAACTGTGGGAGCCCCATTGCAGAAAGAGAGTGCAGGTTGCATCCTTCACAAATCCTCCAGGCTAGGCTGCTTGAACAGGTTTCCCTCTGGAATCTGGGGGTCTCTGGGGAATTCCCTGCCCAGGGGACAGGGGCCTAGGGAGCCCTGAACTGAGAAGCCCCTTATTGACTGGCCCTCCCCACACAAGCTGGGTAGTCAAACCTCTCCCCTTCTCCCCTCCCCTCTTGATAGGGGAGTTCTGCCCACCTGGGGGCAGGACCCTGGAAAGAGCTGTCCATTGGGGCCCTCTGAGGTGCCAAACTCCTCCTTACCCCTCACTGCCATTCCCCCTACCCTCTTCCCCCTCCTTCCTTCTCATTGACTCCCCTGGATTTCGGCCCCAGGTCACCCCCTCCACCGATGCTCTGTGCAGTGAACAGCCTGCAGTGGATCTGGGTCACTTGCTATGGCCTTGGGCAAACTGCTCTCCTAGCTGGGCTTCTACTTCATTCTTAGTAAATGGAAGGGTTAACTAGCTGATGCTGGGGTCCCAGCTACATCAAAGCTTTGGGAAACCTCCCTCTCTGCAGAGGCTTAAGTATTCCATGTCCCCCATTTCACCCCCAATCTTCAGCCAGTCATCAGCTCCCAAACTCGTGCTCAGGCCTTTTCAGCTTGTCACACCCACACCCCCCCTCTCTACCCAACTTGTTTATATCTAGGAGTGAAGCTGATCTCATCGGCCTTGGAGAGGCAGGGCACACCCCTCCCTGGCAGGGCTTGGCCTGGCGTCTCCTGGCTCCCGGGGCCCCCAGGCTTTGCATGGCCAGGCTGCAGCTTCCTAGGCTCTGGTCTGCAGACCCAGAAGCCCTCCGGCCTCGCTCCCTCCAACTGAGGTGGGTTTCCTACCTAGAGGGAGGATGAGAAGCCTTGAGACTAAATAGTAAGATCAGGCAGCAGATGGAAACCAGGCAGCTGGCCAAATGAGGGGGCTGAGCCAGATTAGAACAAGCAGTGTTTGTACAGAACTTCCAGTTACAAAGTATCTCCACAGATGTGATCTGGCTGGGCTCATGGGAGCAGCCTCTCACCCTGGATGACATAGGGTAGGGATGGGTTTTAGCATGCATGGCTCTGTGACTGAGGACAAGCCCCTGTCCTCTCTGGGCCTGTTTCCTTCCCCATATAAGTAAAACCCAAGGCATCCCACCAGCTCTGCCATTCTCTGACCCTTTGAGGGCCAAAGACCTACTAGACATCAGTGAAATAAGTCACAGATTCTGGTGCACTAACAGTTTCCCTCATTACGGTCAGAATGGGCAAGCAGATTCCCTGTGTTTCCCTAGGACCTAGGAGGGCAGGGCTGGGGTAGAGGTGGCCCCCAGGCCAGGGAGGGGCCCAGCCCAGCCATAAGAACCAGTTCACAGATGGCTGGAAAGTTCCTGGCAGATTCACAGATGAGGAAACTGAGGCCTCAGAGTGGGGAGAGCGTCCCGTGTGACCATACCCTCTGAATGTGGCCTGTACAGAGGAGGTCATGCAAGAGAGATGGGCAAGCTAAGCCCCAGCCCAGGTCCCTGGCCAGGCTGCCCACTCTCTCCAGGCCTGCCTGCTGGCTGCTCTGAAGAGGGCAGGCCTCACCTTGGGTCAGCAAGGCTTGGGGCAGGAACCAAACACTGAAGGTAGAGAGGGGGTTCAGCCACACTCTGCCCTTCCTTCATTCAGGCTGGAGACCAGACCCGAGGAGGGGATGCAGGGGCACAGCCTCTCTGCTCTGCCCAGCCTCTTTGTCTGTGATGCCCTGGCCACAGTTCAGCAAGCCTGCACCAGGGAATATGTGGTGTGCAGAGCCTTCTAGGGAATGGAAGGGTGGCCATCTATAGCCACCCTGAACTCTCAGCTTCCTCCTCACACCAGCCCCAGTTGGTATCAGCCATCATCCTCCCACTCCACATGGGAGGAAACTGAGGTTAGCACGATAAACAACTTGATGGAGGTCACAAAGCTGGGGTGGGGTGGGGACAGGGAGTGAATCCTTTTCAGTCTATACCCAAGGCTGGGTCTTTTACCACTGGGCTGCACTGCCTGCCAGTATGTCTCCCAAGTTGTAAAAGCACATGCAAGTGGGGCTGTTTCCCTCACCTCTCTGGACCCCACTGAGGTGAGCACGCACTACCTCTGGAGGATTGGTTCTTTATTCTGACAAAACCCACTGCTTTGCCTGCTGCCTGCACCCACTCCCTTCCCTTCCAGCCCAATCGAGATGGAAATCTCAAGCCACATCCAAAGCAGGAGCCCATCTGTTGCTCTAGCTGGTGACATAATTTCCTATTGCCAGTGGGACATGTGGGCAAGAGCAAGAGTGTTTATGAACACAAGAGGAAAGAATAGGGGACAGTGGCTGCCATGGCGTCCAGGGGCCATCATGCACAGGACTTAGCTGTCAGACATCACAAGACTGACTTTGTTGTAAGAGTCACTGTTTGGGGGTGGGGGAACTGTGGATTCACTGCCATATCCTCTCGAAATTTAGGATACTGCCTGACACATAGTAGGTCCTCAATAAATATGTCTGGAATAAAGAAATGTTCCTCAAAGAAGCTTCCTCTTTTTCTGGCTTGAGTGCCCTGGACCTTGTACCTGAATGCAGGTTGGTCCCCACCCACAGCCGCTGCCCACAGCCCGCTAGGGCGCACTCTACCTGATTCGAAACTCCTCGACTTTCTCCAGCATCTGCAGCAGGTCGGCCTCCAGCTGTCCCCGCTCCTGGCTCACTTTGCGCAGTTCCTCCTGTAGCCGGCCCTCATACTTCTCGTAGAGGTGCCCAAGGTCAAAGGCAGTGGAGCCCTGGCCCTGCAGGAAGCTCCAGCGTGTCTCCAGCAGCTGGTTTCTCTGCTCCAGGGCCTGCACCTGGGAGAGCAGGAAGGCTTCGGTGAGAGGGCCAGGCTCAGGCCCCGAGGCCCCAGGCCCGCCATCGGGCACCAACTGGGGCTCCCCTGGGAAGTGGCAGCTCATCGCTCTGCGCACCTATCTGGGGCCCTCACTCAGCACACTCAGATGGCATCTCCAACTAGTGATTGTTCCAACTAAAGATGGTGAGATAAGGCGGGAATTGGTGAGAGGTGGAGCCAATTAGCAAAGGTTTCCTAGGGGAGGAGCAGGGCCAGCTAGATGACGGAAGGGGGAACTAGGGTGTGAATGTGACAGGCTCTTCACGCCAGCCTGGGGCTTGGGTGGGAGACCCCAGGGCACCTGAGGTGTCAGAGGCCCATCTGTCACCCCCCTCGACAAGCCTGGTCTCATCTTGCTTTGGAAACTCAGCCGGGTAGGGCTTAGGGCCTAGGTAGTACTTCAATGCTAAGCCTCCTGGCAGCTGTGGACTTGTAGCCTTGCAAAGCCTCAGTTTCCCCAGCTAGAAGTTGGGGATATATCACCTGCCCTGCCAACTCTGCAGGCTGTTGGGAGAAGAGCCTGAAAGAGAGCTTTGGAATAGAAATAACAGCAAATGATTATGTGGCTCCTTCTGGGTGTCAGGCCTGTTCTAACACTTCACGTGTTTAACTCATTAAACCCCCACAACGACTCGATGGGATGTTGTTATAAGCTGTATTCTACAGGTGAGAAAACAAGGCACAGAGAGGTTAACTTGCCCAAGGTCACAAAATTAGCAAGTGGCAGAGCCACGTGTGGACTCCAGTGAGTTTGGGTTTAGAATCTTTTAACCACTGCAACCTATGCCTCCTGCCTACTGCTGGGGTCACAGTGGGTCCTGGGACCCACCTGCCTTTCTTCACTGGCTTCTGCCTCTATTCAGGCCAGTTTTGTCTTGAGAATAAAGACTGGGGGGTCCTGGCTGGTTTGGCTCAGTGGTTAGAGCGTCAGTCTGCAGGCTGAAGGGTCCCAGTTTCAATTCTGGTCAAGGGCACGTACCTCGGTTTCAGGCTCGATCCCCGGCCCAGGGGAGGCAACCAATGGATGCGTTTCTCTCACATAGATGTTTTTTTCTTTCTATCTCTCTCCCTTCCATTCTCTTTAAAAAAAAAAATCAATAGAAAAAATATCCTCGAGTGAGGATTAACAAACAAAAATAATGACTGGGGGGAGCTCTGGGCTCAGCTGCTCCTCTCAAACTCTGCCTCCTTCACTCTCTCCTGCTCAGGCTGCTACATGGGCTCCCACAGTCCTCAGCTCGCATCCCAGCCACCAGCAGGCTGACAGCGTCCCTCCTGAGTCTTCTCTTTCCCTCCACCAGCCAGCCTGGGGCTCTGCCTGCCTCTTCTCCACCCTGCCTGACCTCTCCAGGATCCAGCTTCTCTTGGACACAACCCTTTCCACCACCCTAGTCCCTCCCCAGATGTGCCCCCAGCTCCTCTCTTGCAAAAAGCCTCCCCTGTTCCCTCCAGTATGAGGCTCTCAGTTTATCTGCTCCTCACTTGTCTGGGCCTACCATCCTCCCATCAGACTGAGAGCCATCTGCTCCCTTCTTGGGGTCCCTACCCCCTCGGTGCCTGGGATAGGGATAGGCCACGAGGCAGGGGAGATGGCTGGGGCCTGGCTTCTGGACAGTGTGGGCTACTGTCAGGAGGAGGATGTTGTGATGATAGCCCAGTGATACACCCTGTGACCACAGGCGAGTAGCCGAGCCTCCTCCTGCCCACTGCTGGCACCAGCCCCCAGAATCGCAGTTTAAAAGAACCGGAGTCACAGCCAGGAGCCTTTTGGATCAGCTAGTCTGTACCCTTCATTTATAGAGGAGGAGGTGGGGGCCCTGGGCAATCAAGTGACTTGTCCAGTGTCCACAGCAATTGGTGGCCCAGCTTCCCAGACAGGCCCATCTGATGGTGGCTGCCTACTCTGGACCATTAGGGGTTCCCTGTTCCTCCAGAATTTGGGTGCCAGGTGAGCCCTCCTCTCTCTTTCTTTGCCCTGCCCACATCCCCAGGTTTCCCTGAGACACCCTGATGCCCTTGGGATTCCCAGTGGCAATGCCAGCAGGAATATTGATGATGGCCTTTGTGGGCTGTCATTCCCCTGCTCAACACCCATTTGTACTGGGAAGTTCTGCCTGAAGCTGACCCGAGCCTACAGTCTGCTGTAGTTGCAGCCAAACAGGTTCAGTAGGGATGGAAGTCAAGAGGGTTTCTGTACTTGTGTGAGAGGGTTTGTTGGGGGGAGGTATCTGCTTGCCCCACCTTTGCTCCGTTTTGACAAGCAGGAGCCCAGTGTTTACACTGAGGGTGGGGTGAGAGGAGAGAAGTGAGGCTCCTTCCTCCACCCATAAGCAGCAAAAAAACCCTTTACACCAGGAAGTCCTTCCCATAGTCTAACCTCAACCCCCTCTGCTGTAGCACTAGCCTGCTGGGAGATGGGGTGCATTTGGCCAGCCAGTCCAGCCAGAGGGCATTTTGGTTGTGGGGGATCTGGGGCATCCCCCTCCCTGATGCTGTGGGGGAGCTGCCTGTTGTCTCAGTGGCTGGGGATGGAACTGAACCCCCACCCAAGACCTTCCCTGCAGAAAGGCTCCTCCCTCTCGGAACAAAGGCCCAGGGAGGTGCCAGGTTAATTGTCACCATCCTCCCAAGGCTGCTGAGCACTCACTTCTTTCCCCTTCCTCCCCATTCTGGCTGACACCCCTGCTCTTAGATCACATGATGGTAGTTCTAGGAGGGGCCTCAGAGAGCAAACCCTGGTTTACCTGCCTTCCATGGTACAGATGAGGAAACTGAGGCTCAGAGCACAGAACTCACTGTGAGTCAACTCCATGGTACTGGGTAGCCCAGACTAGGGGAGGGAGAGATGTGTTTTTTCTAGGGAACTGAGCAGGCCTGGTCCCCAACCCATGGGCCCACACTCCAGGCAGGTGAGTATACTGAATGGTGTCCCTGGGGCACGCAGGTCCTATTCCTCGAGTGAGGGGATTTGCCAAATCCCCTGCCTTCAGCCAGAAGTTGGCTTTGTCCAGGGAGCTCCAGGGCCTCTTAGTCACAAAGGGCTGGCTTATGCCTTTCTGTGTGAAGGCAGGGGCATGGCTCCAGTGACTTCCAGAGGTCACGTAGGCCTAGAGGAAGACATTGTGCCCATCCCTCTGTCTCCAGGCATTTCACCACCCCTCTTGGGTTCCTTCTCAACAGCCCACTTAGTCTGACTGCTGGCAGTCCTTCCTCTTGTCCCATCTCCATCTCCTTTGTTGTCCGCATGTGAAGGTGAGAGGACCCAGCCAGCGGCCTCTGCTGGATGTTTACATCACCCTCTCCCTGCCCCCCTCCACCTCCTCTCCTGCTGCTGCTTCTGCTCATCCCCCTCCTTTCACGGCTGCCATTCTACTAGTCTTCCCCCTGGCATGAGCCCAGGGCCACCCTCAGAGCAGGAGTGTAAGTAAATGCAGAAAGGGTAAGTGGCTTGCCCAGGAAACACAGCCTACAGTGGAAGAACCGACACTGCTCCAGGGCCTCTTGCCAACTCCTGGTGGTCTTCCCAATAACCCTCCTCCCCTCTCTCCTCCTCCCTCTAGGTGCTCTGATGTCTCTCCAGGCCTCAGAGGGGGATGTGGAGCTGGAGGGCCCTTGCCTGTCTCTTCTCTTTGCCTAGAGCCCCCACCCCTCTGGTTATGGCATCTTACCCTTGAGCACCTCTCCCCCAAGCAGGCCCCTCCCTCCCTCTTCTCAGGCTCCTACTTGAAACGGGCTAACTGCATTCAAGAGCATCATGGGTTGGGCCCATTTATGGTGTTTTAAATTTAACAAACAGAACACACCTGGTACACGGTGAGGGCTTTATAAGTGATTTTCAATAATTATTCCATTTGAATATGACAAGCCCATTACACTGATGTGTACTGAAGCGCAGAGCAGTTAAATAATTTGCTTGAGATTACACGGCGGTCAGAGGTGGAGCCAGGATTCAAGCTCAGTAATTTGGCTCTAGGATTGAGCACTCTTAACTGCTACCTGCTTCCACTCAGGCCCCCGTGGCCTTTACAAGGAGATAGAGAGAGACTGGAGCTAACAGATCTTCTCCATAGAGTTGGTGAGTCAGCTGAGGTTCCGCGGGCAGAGCCCCAGCAATCAGGGCCTCCAGCAGGTTGGCACCCAAGGCTCCCTGAGTCCACTCAGAAGAGCACCCATCTCAAGCCCCAGGCTTGAGGGTTGGGAGGCTGCTAAAGATATTAGAGGGCATAGCCCTGGACCCTGGGCATAGGACCCCTGACCCCTTAGGCCCTGCCCCATGCCTGCTCACCCTCCTGTCTCCCCCATCGCAGAGGCACAGGGTAATATCCCTGGCATTCAGGGAAAAAGCCATCCATCTGAGCCAAATTACATAGCTCATGAAGCATTCCTTTTAAGGGATTAACCTGGGTTAGGAGAGGAGGTGGCTCTGCAGGGACCTGCCTCCCCAGGGCAGTGGGCTATTCTCTTAGGGCCAACAGCCCAGCAGTGCAGGGCTCTGCAGGCTGAGGGAGGGAATGCTCCACACCCCCATCCAAGCACTTCAGGTGTGGGTGCAGGAATGCTGGTCTGGGCACATGAATGGGAGGAAGAAACAGTTCCCATTTCAGAGACTGCTGGCTTTGTGTCTCACAGATCTGAGTTCAAATCCAGCCTATAGACTTGCTGGTTGTGTGACCTTCGGCTAGGCACTTAATCCCTGGATGGGCAGCTTCCTCATGAGCACAGTAGGGGAACTAGCCCCCAGGGGTGTTGCTGTGTGGGCTAAATTACACATCTACAAAGTTCCCACAGCGAGCCAGGCACAAGCAGATGCTTGAAACATGCTGCTTTCTTCCCTGGGTCCCTCTCCGGGAGTCCCCACTTCCTGGGGACACTAGCAACATGCAGAGGAAGCCAGAGGCAGGAGAGCAGGGTGCAGGGTAGAACTGAATCACCGCAGAGGGGTGGGGCTCTGGTCTACTGTGGGGGGGGAGGGGGCAAAAAGGTTGTTTTCCTCATCAGTAAAATTGGCATAAAATGACCTCTTCCCTAAGGTTGTTGAAGGATATAGAGATAAATATGGAAGCACCCAGCACAGTGTCTGGCACATAATAAGCAATTAAGTAACAGCGGTTCTTAATACTGTGACTATTATTCCTGGGCAGGGCGGGAGGGAGCAGAGGGCAGGGCTGGTCAGGAGAGGTTTTTAGAAGGAGGTGAGTGAGGAGTGGGTTTGGGAAGTAGACTGGACTTCCTCAAAGCTCCTAAAGCCCTTGTTCTGGGGCAGAGGTGACACAAGTGCCCAGACCAGCATGCTGGCCATGGCATCTGGGTCTAGGAAGTCAGGATTCTGGGGACTCACTCCCTCTACTCAGGTGGGTGCCTGGCTGGCTGCTCGTTTCGGAGTCCCAGCATCCGTCCCCTGCATTCCTATCTCTTGACTCCAGGCTGCACCCCACTCCACAGCCTCCTTCCTTCTGGAAGCCACACATGCCCTCTAGGCTCTGCCCCTGCTCCTGGCTCCAGGAAGCTAAACAGGGCCAGAGGCCTGGACAGGAGGGTGGACCCTTGGGGAGGTCATCTCCACTGGCAATCTGCTTCAGAGTAGGACTGCAGACCATGCCTTCAACTGTTCCTACGAGGGCATCCTCTTGGCCATACCCAGAGCTCCTTCGTCCATGCCTGGGGGAGGGTGACCCCAGGCGACATGGCACATTATTACCCAGACATCCCTCAGAGGCCACACTGGGGCCTCTTTCTCCCTGCATGTCGGAATGGCTTGGGATTTCCCTCCACACCTCTCTGCTGGGAGCTAGCTTGCGGAGTTAGCAATGCCAACTTCCCATTGGCTGGGGGCAGGGGTGGGGCGTGATGCTCCAGAAATAAAGAACTCAGCCACCTGCCAGTCCTTCGCTTTGGGGACCCTCTTTCTACTTTGCTTACCTTGCCAATCAGGGAGGCAAATTTATCGTTGAGGACCTTCATCTCCTCCTTTTCCTGGGTCTTCTGCTCCTGGATGGCTGGGTCCACCTTGAAGTCCAGGGGTACCAGCAGACTGGGGTTCACTGTCACCTTGGGGATGGTGCCAGCCGACCAGCAGCCTGTGAGACTGCGGGAGCTGAAGCCTGGTCTGGAGGCTCCGCAGCTGCCCCATTCCGAGGACTCAGGCCGGGGGCCGCCTGCTGGAGTCACCTCACAGCTGCTAAGGCTGCTGAAGCCAACGACGCAGGAGCGGCAGGCCATCGCGGCCCCCGGGCCTGGACGGGGAGGGCGCAGGGATGAGCGAGGGAACCTTCTCGGAGAGGCTTCGGCAGCTGGCTCCGGTCGCGGGGAGGGCAGGCTGGGGACTGAGCAGCAAACACCTGTCGTACAGTGCTCATTAGCTGCAGAGGGCGGGACACCTCCCAGCCCGACCAACCTGTTAGATGATGTGGTGCTCCAGCCCCTCCCCCGGCACCACTCCTCCGGGCCCGGGCCGGGATCTGCCTTGCTGAGGGGGCTGTTCAGGGCCCCCAACCCAGCAGGGCCTGGCTCCAGGGAGGGGGCAAGTCTGGGCCGGCTGGCTGGGGGTGGGGGGCTGCGAGAGGAAGGGGCCATTCAGCAAGCAAGGAAGGAAGAGAGTGCGAGTGCCTCTCACTGCAGACCTCACCACATACCTGAAGGCTGACGCACCTGGGCCCACATACTTCTGGCAAAGATGAGGCAAGCGCAGGCCCTGGGCTTCCGAGTGCAGGGCATCTCCCTGAGCGTAGGGCTGCCATCCTGGGCACCATGCCAGCCTCGCATTAGAAAACAACACCTTTATTATTTATTTTTCAGGTGCCCAAGAGTCTCCTTGGCTTATCTTATCTTCTTCCTTCCTTCCTTCTTTCTTCCTCTGACCTACCATTTCTTAAGCACCTACTATGTGCATCCCACTGTCTCAGAAGCTGGAGAGGAAATGGATGGTCAAAACCAAGAGCCTTTGGCTTTGGATAAGTGAGACATGGGTTTAAGACAGTGTGGCTGCTCACCACTGGTGTGACCTCCAGCTGGTTGCTTGATTTCTGTCCTCATGTGTAAAATGGGGATGAAGCTACCAACTCCACAGGAGGTGGTGTATGCAGAGGACTTAGTGGAGGCTGGCACGAAGCCCTCAGTAAATGGTGCCTAAGACCAGTGCCTGCCTTCTGGGAGCTGAGTCTGGTGGGGAAGACAACTATGGCCAAATGCTGCCCTGTCTCAAGGGCCATGAGAATGTGCCCTGGGCTCCCCCCTCCCCATTCTCACTTCTCCATCATTTTAAATATGAAGTAAAAATAGAAAGATAGCAATTGGCTCCCACAGAGCCTCCAATGGGGCAAGAGAAGGCTCAATACACCCAGGGCACTCCCTGCCCACCTTCCTGAGGTTCCAGAGGCCCACTCCTCCCCTTCCAGGGAGCAGCCAGCTCTCTTGGGCCTGCCTTTCCCTTCCTGCCTGGCCCAATGTCCCCTGGATGCTCTCACCCTGGCTGGCTGGCTCTGTGTGCCCTTCCTGGACCTGGCACACCACCCTAGGTGGAAGGGTCACAACAGGGAGAGGAGTGTGTCTAAGAGAGTCAGGCTTCAGGGACAGAAGAGATCTCAGCCCCCTGTGGTACTATCGTGAGGCTGGATTCCAGGCTCTGATGCTGGGGGTGGGCTTGCAAGGTATTTCTGGGTGACTGGGTCACTGCAGTGGTGTCTATTCCCACTTCTGACACCTGCTGCCAGATTCAGCACACACTTGCATGGCCTACCCCAGTGCCCCTGACCTGGTATCTGAATGGCATATGGTCAAACTCAGCACCCTGCCTTCCCCCACCCCAGCTGCCCCTGCACTCTGTAGGGAAGGGGAGGGCAGGCAAAGGCATTCAGTGACAGCTGGCAGGCCAAGTATGTCCCAAATACATTGCATGGGGTAGCTTCCATAGTCCTCATAGCAGCACCCATTTGAGGTAGACACTCCAGTTCTCATCAGCCTGATTTACAGAGGTGGAGACAGGGTCTCAGAGGGGTTAAGTGACTAAAGTCTCAGTGCTGGATTTGAGCCCAGTTGGAGCTATGAGACCTTCTTCTTATCTTAGCCTCTGAGCCTGGTGACCCCTGTAAAGGGCAGTGGGTAAAAAAGAAAGTTCTTGTCTTAATGTCTGGGGCTCAGTTCTACCTTCTAATTTTCTTTTTTAATTTTTTTAAATCCTCACCTGAGGATATTTTTTCCATTGCTTTCAGAGAGAGTGGAAGGGGGAGAGAGAGCCTGAAACTGAGGTATGTGCCCTTGGCTGGAATCGAACCTGGGACCCTTTAGTCTGCAGGCCGACAAACCAATGAGCCAAACTGGCTGGGGCTCTTTTTAAATTTTTTTAATCCACACCTAAGGATATGTTTTTTAAATTGATTTTTAGAGAGAGAGGAAATGAGAGAGACACAGTGATTGGTTGCTTCCTGTATGTGCCTCAACCGGGGATTAAGCCCTTGCCCGCAACCTGTGTATGTGCCCTGACTGGGAATCGAACCCACAACCTTTTGGTGTACAGGATGATGCTCCAACCAACTGAGCCACCTGGCCGGGGCCCTCCTAATTTTCTCTAAGTTGGAGGCCCAATTCTTCAAAGTGCCTCTGTCAGCCCTGAATTTAGATAGGTCACAGTTAATTGCTGAGTCCCTGGCTTCGAGACTGGCATTGCAGGGCCATTTCTGGGGCCCCAAGCACTGGGTGGCTTTCCTTGGGGGTGGCCTGGCCTCTTGGAGGCATGGAAGGCATGCTCCCTGGGGCTCTGGCACAGAGCTGGGACCTGGGTCCTGCCTGCTGCTCCCTCTCTGGCCAGACAGCCTCTCTTAGGAGCAGTCAGAGAGGTGTCTTTGGCAGTCAGAGCTGTGGCTGCCAAACAGGAAGAGCAGTCAAAAGGTCCCAAACAAACACAGCCCCCTGCAAGCACCTAGGCTCACCCCCTCTCCTCCCCATCCCTCCACTAGCTCCACCCAGGCCTCTGTGCACCCTGGCATTGGCATTCTCAGGGAGTCAGCTGTCCAGGCCCCTGCCTTTCTACTCGCATGGAAGACCTGACATGACTCTCTCCTGGCCTTGATATGGAGCCCGGGCCACCTAGGGGTTCAGAGAGTAGGAAGCCTGGCAGGGATGGGGAAGGGAAGATGGAGGGTGGGTAAAAATTTCAGTCTCTTTGGGGATGTTGAGGTACATGGGTGGTCTGCAAACTTCTCCTGAGAGTACTCAAACAAATCTGTTTGAGCCTCCAGCAGGGCGAGAGCTTGGGCGACCCCAGGGCAGACCAGCATTGTGAGCCTCTCTGGGATTCTGGAGGCTGATATCGGTTGGTCCTCACATAGTCCAGGGACAAACCTCAGTCCCCTCCCTTCACCTCAAGTCTCCCCACTTGGCCTCTGGTCCCCTGTAACTGGTGATGGGATATGATCCTGATGTTTCAGGAGGCAGAGAAAAGGCAGGAGAGGGCCAGGGCTACCAGAGGTAAGGAATGGGAGAGGTTTGGGCTGGGCTACCCAGGAGCCTCCTGAAGTTGGTCTTCAAAGAAGCAAAGGAGTTTTCTCCTGTGCTGTTTCCTCCTGCCTTCCATTTCTCTCTTCACGTCACTCCTTCCCCGCCTCCGATCTGTCTCCCTCTCATTCTTATCCACCTCTTCCCTCTTGCCTCCCTGTCTACCTGTCCCTCTCAGAATGTCCTGCCCACGCAGAGTCCTGGGGCGGAGAGGCGTCTGGTTAGCCCCCTCAGCCTGGCTGGGTGGCCTTATGGGAATGGCATCCCTGTGTCACAGTTTCAGCACCTGCGTCTTCCTCCCTTTGGCCCAAATCCTGGCCTGTGGAGCCTGCAGGCCTGGGATAATGTGGGGCAGTGATGCATAGTTGTTGGATGAATGTTTCAGTGAGCACATCCCAGCCTGGCTGGGCTATGGGGCAGGATGTGGCACTGAGACAGACAGGCACTCTCTGGGCAGGGGAGAATCCTAGCCTCACTCCAGGCATGATGGCAAGGCAAGGCCACTCCTCCAGGAAGCCTTCCCAGATGAGCCTGCTCAGGTTCCTGTCTATGTCTCCTCCTCTCTCCTGAATGCACCTCCACATCTGTGCTCACTGGGTCAGGGCCCTCTCCCTGATGAGGCTGGAAACTCTGGCCTCCTTTCTCTGGACTGTCCCTTTGAGAAGCCCAGCCCTGAGGCTGCAGGAGGGAGGCCCTGCCCAGCGGGCCCTGGGAATGGGATGGCCTAGGCTTGGGGCTGAGGGTCTTTGAGCAACCTGTGGCTATGTGAAAAAACTTCTGAGGGCCCCAGAGCTGGGGATAGGGGAGCTGAAAGTAGATTCAAGATGGGCAAGGGCCAAGAAAGGGGGAACTAACAGCAAGGATAGAGAAATTAAACCAGTGTCTATTAAGTCTCCTCCATATGCCAGGCAGGCTATGGAGACAGAAGAGGCACCGACCCCGGCAAGGGTGTCTGGGATGCCTTCCCAGTGGAGCCAGTGAGCAAAGGCTTGAAGGGAGAGGAAGAGTTGGCCAGGAGGGCAGGAGAAGTCTGTTGCAGGCTAAGAAAGCAGCAAGAGCTGCGGGGGTGAGAAACTGTTTGTGTGGGATGGCGACGGCTATGACAGCCACTGTTACTGGAGTGTCAGAGGCGCTGTGGAGCTCAGAGAGCAGTGACCTCTTTGGGGACCCAGGGAGGACACAATCAAAGCATTTCATTACTTTGCATAAAACCCTTCAGTAGCTCCCTGTGGACTCTGGGAAAAAGTCTAGACGATTTCTTGCAACATCGAACAAGATCCTTTGCACCTGTCGCCCTTGTTCCTCTGGGTCTCAGCTCCTCTATACCAGCCTTCTCTCCACATGCCCTGCCAACTTCCACCTCCACCAAACTGGCCCCGTTTCCTGAGCCTGCTGAGCGATGCGTCGGAGCTGGGCAGCGCAGACAGGACACTTCCATCGGTGCCTGCAGGTCTATTGGACAGCGCCGATCTGCAAGCAAGGCACTGAGATGGGCCAGGAGGCTGCAGATTCCTGGGGGCTATGAAGTGCTTCAGGATAGACTAGGGGGGCAGCATGGGGTCATGGCAGAGCTCTGGACCTGGAGACAGGAAACCTGGTTTCTGGCCTGGGCTCTGCCACTCACCAGCTGTGTTGTTTGGGGCCACACGCTTGGCCTCTCTGGGCCTCAGTGGTTTGTGAAATTAGGTTGTATAAGCCACCTGGATAATTGCTGGGTTTGTTTTTTTTTTAATTTAAATTTTGTTTTTCAGTTTAGCTCATCAATGTTTCTCAAAC